GCTTCATGGCGCCACAGCTTCTAGGTCCAAAAAATCACGGCATTTGCGGTAGATTTTTGAGCTGGCTTCGCTTCATGGCGCCACAGCTTCTAGGTCCAAAAAATCACGGCATTTGCGGTAGATTTTTGAGCTGGCTTCTCTTCCTGGGGCCACAGATTCTAGGTCCAAAAAATCACGGCATTTGCCGTAGATTTTTGAGCTGGCTTCTCTTCATGGGGCCACAGATTCTAGGTCCAAAAATCACGGCATTTGCCGTAGATTTTTGAGCTGGCTTCTCTTCATGGGGCCACAGATTCTAGGTCCAAAAAATCACGGCATTTGCCGTAGATTTTTGAGCTGGCTTCTCTTCATGGGGCCACAGATTCTAGGTCCAAAAATCACGGCATTTGCCGTAGATTTTTGAGCTGGCTTCTCTTCATGGGGCCACAGATTCTAGGTCCAAAAAATCACGGCATTTGCCGTAGATTTTTGAGCTGGCTTCTCTTCATGGGGCCACAGATTCTAGGTCCAAAAAATCACGGCATTTGCCGTAGATTTTTGAGCTGGCTCCTACCACTTCCTAGCTGAAAAAGCGCTGCATTTACAGTACATTTTTGAGCTGGCTTCTCTTCCTGGCGCCACAGCTTTTAGGTCCAAAAAATCACTGCATTGGCACTCTTTAAGTTTGAAATGGGACGATCACGATGGAAGACGCCGAGTTGCGATGCCAAAGAATGAATGCAAATCTTGTGTCGATTCACAGCGAGGCGGAAAACGATTTTGTCTTTGGTGGGCCGTACCAAATACTTTGCGGGTGCCCGGGGGACTCTTAACTGGGTAAAGCAGTGCTAAAAATTGAGCAACGGCGCGATCACCGGGGCCCGGTGCGACGAGAGCCTACGCCCACCGGAAGCTGGAAACTCAAAAAACCTGAGATGGCCTGGGTTGTAGGACATGTAGGGTAGCCCGAATGTCAGATGGTTGCAGTCTCGCAGACCGTCTGGTCAGATCTCGAATTTTCAAAATCTCGAATTCTCATAATCCTCGGATTTCTGGATCTCAAATTTTCAGAATCTGGAAATTTCCAGGATCTAAATCAGCATTATAGGCTCCGGAAATCGCACGCCTACGCCCAGAATCCAGCCTAGGCATATTCGATATTCTGAAAATTCGAGATTCTGATTTTCGAGGTTATAAATAATAATTTATTCAACACTAAGGTTTCAATGAGAAACGCTTAAAAGTGAGGGAATATGGTATGAAAAACGAGAAAGAGGGAAGAAGATAGGATAGGATATTATGATAAGTATTCCACCTGGGACTTCCTGATCCCTCTAAAGGGCGTTTCGATAGCCCAAAGAAAAGCCGGGCGGCTGGGGTAAAGTATATTCCAGCCGGACTGCTATAACCCAAGGGAAATGGGCCAGTTTTTCGTATTTAGATGACTTATGGCTGCGAACTTTTGGCTTCAACCAGCAATGCCCGGAGAGATGCTTGGAGGGTACATCTGCAAAATCAAGGTCGGTACCGGACAAATGCTGAAACGCCACCTTTATCGGTTTATCATCACTCACAAGGAAGGGTTTTTAGGTGATCTTGGAGTTTTGTGAGGTTGTCGATAAAGCTTGAAACTCTGAACAAGTCCCAACCTTCAAAAACTGCTGATGCTGTAGCGGCTCAATGATTTGCAACAATCTCAGTTTATCGTTTCATTACTAAGTTTCTGTCCAAATCTTCCTTATCCGATGAAATACAAAAGCGTTTCCCTGTTTTGGACGAAAAAGCAAAAAAAATTGTGGCGGCGGGATTCGAACTCGGGTCGTGTGCGTGGTACCGTGTCATCGGCGCGACCCCAGAGGGGCCTATCCGTGCCTCTGTGGAATGCCGTGATATTGTGATGCTGCTGGGACATTCTGACGGGAATTGTCTGCGACGTGGGACATCTCCGATCTTTTTCGGTGCTTGTAATTTTGATCCGCTACCACTCTTCTCTCCATGATGTCATCATCTGGCCGTCAGAATAGAATGCACCCCCGACCGGCCATCCGTCTGTGATTTGTACGATCCGCTCCTCTGCCCGCGGCTCATTTTTGGTGATTTCTTATCTATGTAAGGAAGGGCAGAAGGGGAGGCTGTGTGTGTGTGGCTTTTTCTTCTTTCTTTTGCCTGATTATCACCGCTTTCGGTCCCTCTTTTTTCGGGTATCGACACGACGCCAGAGTTGCTGGTTGCATCGGAAGCGCCTCCACAGCACGCAAAACCACTTTCTGATTCCTGTCATTGGTTTTTGTGTGTTTTAGAACGGGTATTGAAACGTTAACTTCAAATCTTTGCTTTTTCGGCTAGAACTCCCCATACATCGAATCTTCCGTGGGTGTGGCTACGCGAGTTAACCAAGTACTAGGAAAACCTACCAGCTCGTGCTTGATCTCTGGTTAGTCCGGCCGCCGATCCGCTGCGGTTTTTTGTGCTGATTCCGAATACAGTAGCGGTCAAAAGTAGTGTCGGACAGCACCCCAAGAAACGCACCCGGGGTGCCTTTCAAACGCACCCCGGGGTCTGTTTGAAACGCACCCCGGGGTGCGTTTCAAAGGCACCCCCACTCCCTCGGGGGTGCATTAATAGTGTCCCCGGGTGCCTTTGAACGCACCCCGGGGTGCCTTTCGGGGTGCGTTTGGGGGTGTGTTTTGGGGTGCGTTTCGGCCCCACAGGTGGCAAAGAATCGCAAGGAAAGCCGATAAATAAAAGTATTTTTGGCATAGGAATATTACAGAAACCTTATAAAACCTTATAAAACCCTTCAATATGCTATTCTTGCCTTATTTCATACTCCAGTTATATACTATTAATTGTTATCTGTTCCATTTCTGAAAATCACGTCAATAATTTCCATAATTTTTGCCAAAAGCGTGAGTAAAAACATTTTAAGCCCCGATAAAATATGAAAATCGTAATATAAATCGTTTCAAACTCCAACACAGCCTATCAAACATATCTTATTGCAAGCGGAGCCGTCGGATGGCATCAATTCTGTATAGAAAACATAGTAAAACATATCTGTAATATTCCTATGCCAAATATATTTTTATTTATCGGCTTTCCTTGCGATTCTTTGCCACCTGTGGGGCCGAAACGCACCCCAAAACACACCCCCAAACGCACCCCGAAAGGCACCCCGGGGTGCGTTCAAAGGCACCCGGGGACACTATTAATGCACCCCCGACGGAGAGGGGTGTCTTTAAAACGCACCCCGGGGTGCGTTTCAAACAGACCCCGGGGTGCGTTTGAAAGGCACCCCGGGTGCGTTTCAAAGACCCCCTGGGGTGCGTTTCAAAGGCACCCGGGGTGCGTTTCTTGGGGTGCTGTCCGACACTAGTCAAAAGATGTCCCCTCAGAAGATCGTCTGGTGCTCGAAAACCACTGGCCCAAATTTTATGAAACCTCGTGTCTAGGTCAATTCGGCTGCGGGGAATCCGATGGCAATATTGAAATGTACCGAAAATTTGATTTTAATGGTCAAACGGCGATTTGGAAAAAATCTATAAAATAAAATTTTTCATGAGGGATTTTCGAGTTGCAAAAGTGTGTCCATCGGCTTCACAAGTGTCGAAAACCACTAGTCCGTTATTGTACGACACTGGGCCTGACCATACTGACGGTCGAAAGTTGCTGTCGCCCGGGCCAAAAATCCCTTGAATAGGCTTACGGGGGCCAGGAGATCGCCCCGCGGCGACAACTTCTCGGTCTCATAGCAGCGAGCCTCCAATAGATACTTGTTTGAAAACATGCTCAAGATAGGTTTTCGACCTTTGCGAACACGATGGACACATTTTTGAAACCCAAAAATCCCGCACGAAAAAAATTATTTTGCCGTTTTTTAAAAAATCCAAGTTTGATCACTAAAATCAAATTTTCGGCCGATTTCGTGGTCATCATCGGGTTCTCCGTATCAAAATTGACCTAGTAGCAAAATTTCATAAAAGGTTTGCCAGTGGTTTTCGCGCACCAAACGATGTACGGAGGGGACATCTTTTTGACCGCTACTGTATGTCCTTCGTTTTTGGGGGCTTTTGGCTTCCGGATTGTATGCGTTTTTGCGGCAAACTTTTGACGAAAAACATGTTCCGTACAAAAGTTAGTTGGTTAACTGGCAGTTACTGGCAGTTTTTACTGTCTAGGACGTTGAAAAACCTGCTGGCTTGTGCTCTTCAGTAAAACGAGTGAAACGGAGGCCAACGAAGCAGGCAGGCGTTTTAAGGGGGCGCTCTCAGCGGCTCCGTAATCCATCAATCGGGGTTGCATATGAGCTAATTTGCCCCAAATTCCTAAAATAAATCCACCGGAAGTCGCCGTTTATTAGCTGCAGAGACCGCTCCGCTAGAGGAGGTGTTTTTTATTGGGCCATCCTGTATACCAAAGAAATGTCCGATTTTCCGACTTCCATACCTATTCCAAGGCACTTTTTGGCCGGTCCGGCTACTGCCAACAATTATGCTAAATCTTTTCGTCTTTTTGCTCGTTATCACAATTCCGGGGCCGCCGGCCCGACGCGTTTTCTGCATCGTTGCTACCGTAGCACCGCTGATTAGCGCGTTTCGTTCGTTGGGAGGTGTTCTCTGGACTTGGTATCGATCGATTTTTAGATGGGCTTGTCGGCAGAATTTCTTCTCAAAAAAAAACAGTTTCCAGTTTGCATCCTTTTTACCATCTTGTGTGTAAAATGAAAATGTGAAAATTCTGTTTATAACTTCCCAGGGGCTATGAGGTTACGAAAGTTTACATATAGATACTTTTTCTAGCCGTTAAATAGAAAGGAATTTTATCTCTCCGAATGCTGGTGTAAAAATCAAAAAATTCCAAAAATGTCAAAATTGGCAAAAATCTCATCCATGAAACTGACTATATTTTGCGCAGATTTTCATCACTTCTATGTTTTTCAATTTCTTTCCTGTCACCACCCCTTTCAACGTCCAGCGATTTAGGGTACTTGGGCAATTCGCAGCGGCCCTTCGCCAGCCAGGATGACCGCCGACAATGATAGTGCGTTTTATTCGCCAATATCGGGCCTCGTGAATCATTTTTACGAACTCGAAAAAGTGACGGATGGGGTTTTCGCGTTGACATTCAAATTCTCCGGTATATTCCCCGATTTTTAGGCCTTCTGAACGCCGTCTTCAGCGCGGTCACCCTGCCGCCGGTCTCCACCGTGTCGAGGGTACGCACCAATAGTCTTAACGTGCAATTTGACTTAATCTAGGTGGAGTCTCATCACGAGTCCCACGAGGTGCACGTCCAGAGTAGCCAGGTGGATTTTTTAAAATTAAACTGAACCCTGCTTTGCAAATATCAGAACCTGTATTTTAATGCTGTTTTCATAGCTGATTTTTTACTGGAAAAGCCATCTAAAAACGAAGAAACATGTTTAAAATGGAAAATTTTTGATGTTTGATTTGAGGGACGACTTGCATTTAAATATATTTTAAATTTTATGAAAATTCGGCATTTTTTTGAGAAGTATAAAATCACCAAGAAAACCGGAAAAAATTTAGCGTTGAAGATTTTGATCGAAATACCTCGGTGTTTCGTCGAAAATTCGATGATGTGTGTTTCGTTTAAAATGTAGTTTTAAGTTATAAAATAATAAAACAAAGCTTTTCTTTACAATTTTAAGCCAAAAAACATGTAAAAACATTTTTGTAGTAAATGTAGTTTCAAGTTTGGGAGCTGTATTTCAAGTAAATTTGGCAGGTCTACTCCGCCACTGCCACCCACTTTGAGTCGCACACCTCCGAGTCGCACGTCATCTCTGCCCACCATCAGGAGCAGGCACACGTCGAGCAGAAGCTCGCCTACATTCACGCCGACGACGCCGTCGTGTTCAAGCGGGTAAGATGGAGTGAGAAAGCTAACGGTGAAATTTCAGGACTCGCTTGCTTCTCAGCAATCGGTGCCCCGCTCGATTCGTGCTCGATCGACCGCTTCTTCTGAAGCCACTTCCCATACCTCGGATAGCACGATTACCAAGATTGACTCGGCTTTGGCTCAGGTATCGATTAACTGTTTTCTCTCTCACTCTCTCTCTCTCTCTCTCTCTCTCTCTCTATCCCTCCCTCGCTCCATCTATCTCTCTCTCTCTCATTGTCTCTCTTTCTATAACGTTCTCTGGCCCTCGCTCTGCCCTCTTTCTGTTTCTCTCGCTCTCTGTCTGTCTCTCTCATGAGACTCTCTCGCTCTTTCTCTCCATATCTACCTCCGAGCTCTTTGTCTCTTTCGCTCTCTCTCACTCTCGCTCTCGCTCTCTCTCTATCTCTATCTCTCTCTCGTTCGCTGTCCCGTGAGAATTGCAGAAAACGTTCGCCCTTCCAGCGCACAACCCTGACGATGGGCGGAATCGGATCAAAGCCGGATTGGCCGGCCTCCGCCAACAGCCACCCCATACCGCAACCTCAACCTCCATCAGCCCCTCAGTCCCGTGCCCCATCCGCCGTATCCAGCCGAAAATCTTCTGCCACCGCCCAGTCAATCCACTCCCATCACTCGACCCACTCGCACAACTCGTACCACAGTGTCGCTTCCGATGAGAGCGAGTCGACGCTCAAGGATGAGGAGCATGGTGGGTTTGGGCGGGTGTAAGGGGCTTGTGAAGTCAAGTGGCTCCTATGGATTTTAGAAAAGTTTATATTTTTCTTGAACCTTGAATTGATAAATGGAAAATATGACTTTCGAAAAATGATCGTAGCCGCTTTTGCAAAGGTTTTGCACTTCAGATTCGCGGCTTTCTAGCACCGTTAAAAGCGCCAGAAACGCAGAAATCGACGCGTACCCTCAACTAATTGTCGAAAGTTCGTGCCGCTTCGAGAACCGCATGGTTGTTCAGGAATTGCGGTTTATGATGCGTTTCAAAGACGGCGAGCGCGGTTAGGCGCAGCGCGTAGTTGTCGAGATCTATATTGCGTAAATATTGCATAAACCAGTAGCCTTGCCGGCCCCTTTAAAATCGAAATGCCCAAATTTAGCCGCACCGATCCACATCCATGCCGTCGCCCCGCCAGCTCACCATGAAATCTCGGAGGAGATTGTCCATGAGGATTCCACCGGTCACATTGTCTACCGCGGCCATTCGGATGACAGTGAGGTATCTTAATTTTAAAGCCTGATTTTTTCTAGATGCTGGAAAAAAGATGTTGTTTCAAACCAGTCAGTAAAGCTGGTCAAAATCGTCGTCTTTACCTGAATTTTTAACGATAGATACAATCTATTGAGCTTTACCGTGATTTTTTTTGAATTCTATGAATTTTTCTAGACCCATTTAATAACTAACTTTAATTCAGGAATACCCGCCCCATGCTCCTCCGCCAGTGCCCGAGGAAGCTCCCCCACGTTCTCCACTACCCACTAATTTGCTCAGCGATCTGCGCAACCATGCCCTCTACCGTCAGGCTAGGGTAATTTTTTTCATTCCTAACTATAAGGGGACAAGCAAAGCAGGGGTACGCTCCGCGTGCGCCTGCGCGTTCCGAGTTTGCTGCTTGGGACGCGTTGTCCCTCGTGCCGCGTTGCGGCTCGACTTTTGCCGCACAATGCGGCTAGTCGGTTGGGCGACACTGCCGTTTTGTGCGTGTGTGCATCGCGGCAACTTGCGCGCCGCTGGATGGTTGTCGCGTTGCGTACCGCGGTGCGCTATGTGCGCGGCGCGTTGCGTAGGGCGGTGCGCGACGTGTTGCCCGTTGCTCATCACGGCGGTGCGGTTAGCAGGTCGATGCCGCGTTGCGTGCCGCGCAAAGGGCAAGCTCTCGCGGCCGCGTTGCGGGTCGCGTGCGGGCATGTGGTCGCACCGCGTTGTTTGTTGTCAACCCCCTTGAAGGTACTGGAAAGTGAGAGATTTTTCTATGGATTCCTTACGACATGCCGCGTGCTGCAGCCCATTTTTCCCCAGATATACGCCTGACGCTTCGCGTGTCTCTCTGCGCCAAAAATTACTAGATGTTTCTTGCAATTGGACCTGTGAGCCGACAGCTTTAACTTTTTTTTGATTTTTGGGGGATTCTTTGAGATGCTGCCGATTGATGTGTATCTGTCCAAAAATTCCAGCGACCCTTGTCAAACCCAAAAAATTTGTGGAATTTGGCCAGCCACTAGTTCGTGACCGCCACGTCATCAAACAGGGGGGCCTTTTCGGGGCCTATTCTGGGGGACGAGTGGAAGCTAAAAGCTGCTTATTTTCGGCCTGGCGGTGATAATAAGTCCATTTTTGATGACCGTGATAGTGTCCGGGCGATGTGTCATCACTAACTAGAAAGGGCACGCCAAAACGGGGTCAGGTTACAGGTTTTTGAGGACAATCTGACCATTAAAGGGATGAAAGACCATCGAGGTTTGTGGCAAGCTAACAGTGATTTCTCGGGGAATTTGAGCAAAATAACGACTCTGCCCCGGCTAGAGGTTCTGCAAAACAAACCCGCGCGTCCAAAATTTCCCAAAAAAGTTCTGCCGTCCTGCCCCAGGCTACATCAAAATTTCTCGTTAACATTCCCGTATTGTCAGTCATTATTTCCGCATCTGAGCAGATGACGTCCGGACAGTTTTTCGAGCAGATGGAGGGGTGCTGATTTACAACGGGACCGTGTCCGGGGCTTATCACTTCTTCCCCTCCTCGTTTCTTCAGGGCTTTTTCGGCTTCACTGTGGGGAGAGAGATAGAGAGATAGAGAGGCAGAGAGCGAGAGAGAGAGAGATAGAGAGAGAGAGACAGAGACAGAGATCGGAGATAGTTTTCGGCCTTGAATCAATATTTGGTCTTCACGTAATCAAAAACTGGAGGAGATCGGCGGTGACGGTTCAATGGAGTGGCAGCATTCGCCAAAAAGGGGTCGTCGCAAAATAGACACTAAAACAGGAAAATCTGAAAGATATTACAAAAACTACAATGCCTTAAATTACGTATCTCTGAATATATTTTTAACATACCCTAAACTCATTAATTCACCTAAAAATACCTGAAAATCAAGAACGTGCAACGCAAAGATCGTAGAATAACCGTATCTTCGGTTTCTACTTTATTTCGTAGCAGTCGAGACAGAGCCGAGGGAAGCGGTCAGTTTTGGAGTTTTCTAGCGCCTTTAAAGCCGCTAAAAATCTAGTTCAGCCCGACGACGAGACGAGCACCACCATCTCAGAGGCCCATATCGAATCGGTGCTGGGAGGCCACACTAATGGGTAGGATGCTTGACAGTTCTCTCTATCTTTTTCTCTCTCACGGTCTCTCTCCCGCTCTCTCTCTCTCTCGCTCTCACTCTACCTCGCTCTCCCGGTATCTCTACAGAAGTCTATATCTCTCTCTCTCGCACTCTCTCTCTCGCGCTCTCTCTCCCTCCCTCCGCTTTTTCCTTTTTTCGATACTAGTAATAGAATTTTTTTAGCTACCACGCGGCTTCCGACGATTCTGATTCCGAATCCGAAATCGGCGTCGTCGTCCTCCGCTCGGTCGTCAAGAAGGATTTCGACTCGCACGAGGTCGTCGCCGTCGAAAACCCGGCTGTACGTTGCTTCAATTAACGATTTTTTCCTATTAATTTCTGGTTCCTTGTAATTTAAAGTTCGATACAGGTTCCAAAAATACGGAAAAGGGGCAGGGCACGGGGGATTAGCCCGCGGCTCGGGCCGGGATTCTGATAAGGAAAACGGTACGCTTACATCTATTCCAACCGGGGGGTTTAGGCTTCCTAGTAGTAGTTGTAGTTTGGAGTTTAGTCAAGGTATCGATTTGGAGTTCATGATCGCTTCGTGATAGAATTAATTAAATGTGCTTCTCTTTCTCCGGGCCTCTCTGGACTCTCGCTCTCTCTCTCTCTCTCTCTCTCTCTCTCTCTCTCTCTCTCTCTCTCTCTCTCTCTCTCTCTCTCTCTCTCTCTCTCTCTCGCTCTCTCGCTCTCTGTCGCTCTCTCTCTCACTCTCTCAAGCGATGGGTCTCACGCTCTCTATATCCCGCTCTCGGTCAATCTCTAGCACACTCTACCTCCCTCCTCATAATTTCTTTTCAAGAATCTCTGCTAATCACCCTTTTCCTGGCGGTATTTTGTATAAATTTTGGCTTCCTGTATTTCCAAAATAATCTTTTCTGGCCCGCCTGATTCCCTCTAGCTCTCTCACTATCTCTTGCTCCCGCGCCCCTTCTCTCTCTCTCTCTCGCTCTCTCTCTCTCTCTCTCTCTCTCTCTCTTTCTCTCTCTCCCTCTTTTTTTCCTGAACAAACTCTGCTAGTATTTTTAAAGGCTGTATACTCCCTGCAGTTCTTGAAAGATATCTGCCGCGTGCCGATATTTGGAGTTACCACGACATTTATTGTAAAACCACGGCTACCACCCTTGATTATTTGCTAAATTGAAGTAGTTCTATCTTTTCCTTTGTCTATGGTTGTCTAACCTTTTGTTTCACTTTGATAAGCTTGGTATCCGACCGATTGTTGATTCATCTCTGCTTTTCATGAATTTAATGTATCACCCATAGGCTTGAAATGGCTTTTGCAGCTCCGATAAACAACTTTCCAAAACAAAAGGTTTTGGGATTTGACTTCTCCTGACCATGCCGGAGTTTTTTCGATACCCTAAAAATATGCTAACCACTCTAGTTCCAGATCCGCCGCCAGCCCAGCCACGTGAAGCCCCTTGACGAGAAGCTGAAGACCGAGCTGCAACAGGCCATGCAGACCCGGGCTATCGAGGACGACGTGGGCTTTTTGGATACCTTCCGTCTTTTCAATAGCTTTGTTTGCATAACTGGTTTTCATTATTTTAGAGTGCTTCCTCGACCCTATCCCACGAATCCGAAGACCATCACTCGCTCCACCACGAGGTTAGCATCGGAATTTTGATAAATCTAGATCGGATCCTGTAAACATCAGCTTTTAAAGGCATGGACAAAGCATGTGTTGGCAATGAATTCATCTGGGTTTTTCGTCGCATGCGACACGCAACGCGCGCGCCGCATGGTGCACGCGTTTTGTGTGTTCCGTACAACCTGTTTGGTAAAATCTGTCGATTTTTGCCTGCGTACACCTCACGAAAAGCTTGCCTTGCTTGCAGCTTTTTGTTTTTAGTCTAGCAACTACCGGAATGATTGCGTGCGCGTCGCGTGCTGCGGGGCGGCAAAACTTTTCGGAAATCCAGAGGCATGCCTTGCCCGTTCCTTTAATCATTTTTTTAACATACATACCCTCTCCAGGACCACGCTCACCAGGAGCCGATCGTCTACCACTCGGCCCACCATTCCGAACACGGCTACGTTGAGCCCCCTCCCGTTCATCAATTACCGGAAACCGCAGCCGCTTTTGCCGCCGTGGAGGTCAGTTAATTTTTCGTATGATTTGAAAAGCCTAAAAATTTAGCTCTCCCACCCTCGTGAACCTCCAGCGGAGCCTGAGTGGGAGCCGCGTCGATTTTCAAGCTCGTCCTCCAGGAATTCTGGCTATGAGCAAGCTGTTTTTGGAGAGGTTGGTCTCTGTCTTTCACTCAGTTTCTCTCTCTCTATCTCTCTCTCGCTATCTCCCTATCTCTCTCGCTCTCTCTTTCTCTTCCCCGTCTCACCCTCTCTCCTTATTTCGCGCTAACCTTCTATCTTTCAGAAGCACCACACCGAAGACGACGAAGGTACCCTCACCTCTCACGACGGAATTCCGCCAGCCCGCGATCTCCCGCTGCGTGATGTTCTGACGAAACGTGACTCGCACGACTATCCGAGCTACTTGCACGGGTGCGTCTTCTTTAACCGTAATTCCGCGATACTTATTCGTTATTCTTGAATAGGTCCATTACCTCAGCATCTTTTTAGAAGCGTCTCCTCCGCCACCTCCTCCCATCTGACCGGCGTTTCTGGTCACCAGAATCGCGGTCCGATGACTGGGGCTTTCCTACACCGATCGGCAGATGGATCGCAGCAGATCCGGATTGGCCATGGAGCTCTGCCTCCACGCCGCGACACCGCGTCTTCCGTTGCCGCTTCAGAGAGCTCGACCGCTACTTATCAGAGGTATTTATGTAGAGAGAGAGAGAGAGGGAGAGAGAGAGAGAGAGCGAGTGAGTGGGCAAGGGCTAGTGAACTCAGTTCGATTGCAAAATCCCAAAACAAAAATTCCTTTTTAAAAAAAAATTCCGAATATTAGCTTACTTTTCGCAATTCACATCGATCAAAACCGGGATGACGTTTTTCCCGGCACGGCGCTACCAGATAACACTTTTTTGTGTGTGTGCTGGGGCGCCCAGAAGTCAGAGAGGAGGGGGCCCGCGAAAAGTTGCCACGACTGGAGACGCTGAGATAAGTACCGGCGTGTACCGTGGAAACCCTCCAAAAACCGAACACGGGGGAAACGAACGACCAATTATTGACAAATATTTTTAATTTTATTAAAAACCGTACCTATAAATTTATTGAAATTTGGTTTTAGCCACAACGCCGCTCCAGTCATCACCGGACCGTTGCCGCCCCAGCCACAACTTCCGGGAGGACATCAGCGACCGAGGAACATGTCGAAGGTACCGTAGTTATAAAAATACGTCCTAAGTTTGTATTTTTTAGGGCCAATTCTCGACGGTCAGCTCGATCGCTTTGATTCCGAATCTCTACGATCAACCTCGTGTGACAGAGCCGTTGCGTTCTGTGCGTGCTGATGATGTTCTGCACACTTTGGCCAGGGTAGGCGTCTCTCTCCCTCTCTCTCCCGCTCTCTCGCCCTCGCTCTATCTCTTTCTCACTCTATCTCTGACCCTCACGCTCTCTAGCCCCCTTTCTCGCTCTGTCTATCTCGCCCTCTCTTCTTCGACCCGCTCTTCTTCACTCTCTCTCTTGTCTTAAAAAACGACAAACCTTAGGAACAGCAACACTTTGATCAACACCACCATCATCATGACGCCCACCACGACCTACACCAGGAAGACCACCACTACAATGCCTACGATGAGGTGCACCACGATGATCATCACGATGAACCCGTGTATGATCACGTTCATGATGGCCACCAACACGAACACGATCACCATCATCATCACCATGAACACCATCATGGCCACCACGAGCACCATCATGATCACGATCACCACGAGCATCACCACGAGCAGCCGGCTCTTCCTCAGCATCAGCCGAAGGCCCGCGAGGTATCAGTTTTTGGATTACATATTTCATCGACTTCCTATTACCCATATCGTGAAAATTTTCAGCACTATGATTCGGTGTGCTCCGACGGCTTCGTCCACGTCAAACGTCCGCTTCGCGGCAAGAAGGAATATGTAAGTTGCCACCTTCAAAAATGACGCGCCGTTTCTAGCACCTACCCCTCGGCGATCACTTCGTCCTGAAGGAGGGCGTCAACACGCTGCGTGGACGCTGGGAAAACCGTAACTTCCACCACGAGGATACTGATGACGTGAGTCGGAAAATTTACGCCGAGACTTGAGTTTTTCAGGTGTTACGTAGACTCTACGCGCTAACGCTTAGCTAAATGTGCATTTTCAGGAGTACGCCCGTACCCTCGGCAACCTCGACAAGGCCCTGCACTCTCACGCTACTGTAAGTTGGGTTGTAGCGTTACTAAACGTGCGCTTTAGTCGACGATCCAGAGCAAATCCCGTGCATCAACAAACGCCTCGAACGTCTCCGCCTCGACCTGTGCCAGCAGCCATGCGCAATCTCAGGCGAAGAGCGCTGTTTCGGCTTCGTCGTGCGCTTCTAAGCACTCGCAGGTATGCTTACGTCAGATTGTTGCTGCGACCTTCAAGCTAATGTTCAGGCTAACCTAGCTAGCGGCTACTGACCTTTTCCTATGCCCACATTTCAGGCCAAGAGCGCCGTTTCCGCTTCCACCGCCACCGGAAGCGTCGTCAGCCAGCGCTCCAAGCAGTGAGTCATTTTTCGAGTTTGTCGACAAGTTCATGCAAGTTCTGGAATAACGAATCACTTTTTCAGATCGGCACCCGCTCTGAAGCATGGTATCAAGTCTCGCACGTCGACTCTCCAACAGATCCACGAACACGAGGAGTTGAAGACCCCAGGTAGATCGCTGAGATTTTGCGGGTTGAGATATCCGTGTGAACTCGAGGATTTTGTAATCACTAGCTTTCAGCAGTACTCCACTCTCTTACCGTCGAAGTCGGACATCACGATGGCCCGGTCCTCACCCATACCCCGGTCACCTCACCCGCATACAACGATCGATTCCAGTCGCTCCGCGTTGTCAAGAGCGTTCGTCAGTTTGTTCAGGTAAGACTTGACGAGGTGTTAATTGGTACCACACGATACCTTCAGAGTAATTTTGTCATCAGCACGTTAGGTCGTACACTAATCGCTACCACCCGATACCTTGAGTCCAATGCTGAACCTTCTGCTCACTATAAAAGGATCGCGGACATTGGCGCTTTCAAAACTGTTCGAAACGCGCGGTTTAACAGCGTGTATAGGAGTCAAGCGTTCTCACCAGATCGCTACGTTTGGCTCCTATGCACGCATCACTGTACGCGACGCCAGAAAATTCTACGATTCTTATTTTTAGCAAATCGACCAACCCGGCCAAAAGTCTCACGTAATTGTGCCGGCCCCCAGGACCCACGTGCCGCCACCAGTCCCTGAGCCCGACTACGATGAGGTTCACGAGCCAGTCGCCGCCGTCCGCACCCATGCCGAGCGTCGCGAGAGTGTTCTTTGTAAGCTTGAACCCAACCTCTAACGCCGCCTTGATTCTAGCTGATGCCACCTCAGTGTCGGTCAACTCGTCCGTTTCCCAGCAGTCCCAGCACCATCATCACAAGAAGGTAGGTCGTCAAACGGCAATCAACAAGTCGAAAATTATGTAGATTGCTAAATTCTTTAGCACAGAGTGAGAACTTACAAAGACGCCGCCCGTTGTCGTGTCTTAGCTACGAGCGGTTGCTCTGTACGTCAAAACTGTGCGGATGAAGCTTAGAGCTAGGAAAGCCAAGATCCAGCTTAGAAAACGGCAGGCTTCATGGGCTCCGAAGCCCACGCAAGCACCTTGTGATTAGGCCGATGTAGCCATGAGTTATCATTGCTGTTTGTCTGTACGTACATGCCTGTGCCTCACGCGCGCAGAGTTGCTAGAGATGACACCAGACTAAATTACAGGCCTGTCGAGCGAAAGGCCACAGACGCACACGATGTGTAGGTAGATAGTAGTCACGCGTTGTCATTGCTTGGCTACGCGCTGCTTCTCTGTAAGTGCCAGTCTGTGCGTGCTGCGCGTACGACGGATAAGAATAAACTAAGGCAGAGGACTTCAGACTTCAGGGGTCCTAAGCCCGCTCGCTGCGGAATATTGTGCGTAGGTCAAAGTAGTCACGCGTCCGTGCGGGGGGTTAGCTACGCGCAGCGTCTCTGTACGTGCGAGTTGGTGCTTTCTATACGTCAAGTAAAACCCAACACAACCACGTACCTTCAGTGCCTCGCCTGTCTTCGCAGTCTGCCGCCAACGCCGAAGGTCGGCAGCGTCGCCGGAAGCGTCGCTCACTCGGCCGTCCGTAGCCATCAGGGCAATGGAACTGTCGTCAGCCATGGAGGCAGCCATCACAGCCATCATACCCAGCAGTCCCATCACACCCACCAATCGCACCAGCCGAGTCACCACAGCCATCATAGCCACCACCACAGTCACCATGGAAGCCACCATGGCAGCCAGGCCAGCCATCACAGCCATGGAAGCCGTAGGAGCCAGGTGGGTAAAAAAGGCGCGCATCCGTGACGCGCATCCAAAAACCGCAACAGCTGGCTCTGACCGTACCGGGCGTCCCAAAAAAATCTCCCTCTCTAGCCGGCCGAACTCATGTCGGATTTTTAGGATATAGGTTTTGTATCGGAAGTTTTAGAAAAGGCCAGTCCAGCACGTTACTCCGATTTCCGTAATCTCGGAACTTTGTGCTCGAGTTTCGGCATTTTCCCACTAAAAGGACAGGCTTTTTGGTAAAACTCAGTTTAAGCGGTATTCAAGCTGTGTTTTCGCAAACGGCTTACAGAAGGCTGTCATCTCTAAATTGCGTTTTTTTTGTAAAAACCCCCATCGTCAGAAAAACATCAGAAAACCCACCCGTTTCGCAAAAATATCAATAAAAGTTAGAAAGCGAGGAGAGGCACTGGATCAGCAGAAATCAGCTCTTTTCACAGTTTTCCGTGATAAAAATGTACAGCTAAATCACTTGGTCTAGAAAATGAAAACTGCTCGTTTTCTCGCCATTTCGAGAGCTTTCGATAAATACCTAAATCATAAAAATCGGACACGGCTGCAGACCTCTAGGCGCAGAACTCTGTAACTGATCAGTCACTGACCGTTGCACGCGACGCGTCCGTTACACAACACTCCTCTCGCGCCATTAACAGCATGATGATCGCTTCAGACCAACACCGCCAAATCGAGCAAACGCTCGTCGGTCGACTCGCAGGCCACACTCACCAACAGCGCTGTCAACCACCAGAATGGCCATGCCGACCATCAGTACCATGAGCACCACGAGCACCACGTTGAGCACCACCAGAAGCCGATGAGCCCGGCTTTTGAAGAGCCCGTTGTCACCGAGTACAAGGTATGACCTATCCCATTAAGTGAAATACATGACGTCAGGTCCGCGCCGAGACCCACGTGCTGACCGATCTGGTTCCGCTGTCGCAGCGCCGTCAATTCTTCGAGTCCACCGATACGGTAAGGGGGTTTTAATAGCTTCATTGCTATAGTTTTGAGCATTACGTGATTGGCCAAAAGACGCACCATTGACGGTTTTCATGGCGTAAGCGGTTTCGCGGGGATAGATTAGCAGTTTTCGGTCCATTTTGACCGGATTCAGGGGCTTTCAAAGCTTATTTTACACCTAATTTTGCGTAGATCTCAAAATAAAGCATAGAATTTTGGCGCTTTTAAAACATTTTTAATAATTTACCGTATTTTACCGTACGGCACTAGATTTCATGTCGTAGTCAATTGGAATGCTAAAAATTTGCCGTTTTCAAGCCATTTTTGGGTCAAATTCAACGTTTTCAAAACCTATTCTAGAGTGAATTTTGCGTAGATTTCAAATATTTGCCTGGAATCTTTTTGAATATACCGCTTCTATTTGAAAAATTGTATTCTCTTTAGGAAATCAAGCGCAACTTCTCGATCAACCGCAAGAACGTCAAGCACGACCATTTGCCGCCGATGGTCAATTTGCTCGCTTAATTCAATTTTTATCCGGATTTTATGCTTTTTTAATGTCTGGTAAAGCGAATATGCCTTCTTACGAAGAATACGATGCCTTATTTTCCCTGTAATTATCGCCTAAATTATGAGTGTGCCATTACTGTTTCGATACGCTCCCGTCCTGTAGTTTGTAGTCGTATATCGCTCACGCAAGACAACATTTGTATTTTTTTGCTACGGTAGTTGGTAGAATAAAGTTTGAAAAATCGAAAACTATTTAAAATGCACTTAATTAAATTAGAAATCATTTAAAAACTATGATTTATCCCATTACGCCACTATAACACACGTATCGACGCGGAAAATCACAACGTGGACGGCTGAAAGAATTATTGATACCTTTACCAATGTTAAAAAATCAGAAAAATGGATTCTGAAATGGTGCATTAAAGCGGGGCGTTCTAAAGTATATTTCTGCAGGTAATTCAAATTAGCAAAACTATTTAGAAATGCAGAAATGCATGAATGAGATACGGTATACGGTCATTACGGCAAATAGGGGGGCAGCGAGCGAGGTATATTTTGGTGTTTGTGTGAGGCTGGTGGGTGGCAATTTTCGAAAAAAAAGGAAAATTTGCATGAAAAATACAGCGTAGAAAGGAGAGAGAGAGAGAGAGAGAGAGCGAGAGAGAGCGAGCGAAAGTGAGAGAGACTGGTCCTCTTTAAAAAGCTTGGTACATATTGGGGGCTTGTTGTTGCTGTTGCGGAACGGAGTAGCCCAGCTAAAAAGTTATGCTAATTAAGTTATACATGGGCAAATGGCTAATATTTAAAGGTTATTAAATTTCGATTCATCTGCTAAATCACTATTACCTGCTCCAACTCGGCGTTCGTCAACAATTTGCATTTTCGCAACCGTTTCCATTCACCCGTGGAAAAGTCCATCTGAAACGGCGGTCTATGCGGGAGATAGGATGAGAGAGGGAGAGATCGAGAGAGAGGGAGCGAGAGAGAGAGACAGAAGAAAGCGCGAGCTAATAAATGAAAGAGTGTGAGTAAAAGAGCGAGAGACCGAGAGAGACCGAGAGAGACCGAGAAGACCGAGAGAGACCGAGCGAGACCGAGTGAGACCGAGAGAGACCGATAGAGACCGAGAGAGACCGAGAGAGACCGAGAGAGACCGAGAGAGACCGAGAAGAGACCGAGAGAGACCGAGAGAGACCGAGAGAGACCGAGAGCGATAGAGAGAGAGAGAGAGATCTAGTGAGAGAGATGTAGTGAGAGAGCAAGAGAAAGCGCCCTTGAGCGAGAGAGAGCTAAATACATACCTGGAAGAACGTCTCAGCCCTCCATTTTGCCTGCATCCCATTCATCACGCCGTCTTCGATATTTTCCGACAGCTTGATGGTCAGGACCTGGCCAATGTCAGGGCGTGGGTTGACTGAAAATACGCTCATTAAACTCCTACAGTAATCCAGATAGAGCCTACAGCAATCCCAAAATCCCAATGATTTCGTTATTTACAAACCTTTATTCCCGCACATGAAGTCGACCACAATTTTTCGGCTCTTCGCATCGAGGGAGTTGGCGGTGCGCAGCATTTCCTCGCATTGACGTCGGACAAGTTCGGTCTAGAAGTTTTAAATATTTTCCATTAATGCAAGGCTGTTTGGAGGATACCCTAACCGCCTTAATCTCTAAAAACCGATACCTTATCCATGGGCGGTTGCTCGGGCTGGCGTTGCACAGCTTGGCGGAGGAATTGGGGTTGTTGCTGTTGGGGCTGTTGGGCTTGAATTTGTCCTCCAGGTTGTTGCTGAACAGGGACCTGAAGAAGAACAGATTGGGCAGAGAGAGAGAGAGAGTGAGTGAGAAAGAGATCGAAAGAGAACTAGCGAGCGAGAGTAAGAGAGATCATTGTGTGTGAGAAAGAGAGTCAGAGGGAGGGAGAGATACCTAGAGAGCGAGAGATAGAATGAGAGAGAGAGAAAGAGTGCGAAGAAAGAAACCCTGAGCATCTACCCACCGTTCTTCTAACGTATATCGTCTGTCCATTCGGCGCTGTTTGTTGCTGAATGGTCTGGAACATTCGGGGCTGCGGCTGTTGCTGAACTTGTTGCTGCTGTTGTTGTTGTTGCTGGTGCTGTTGAGGCTGTTGTTGCTGAACGACTTGCTGCACCGGAACTGCTTGGACTTGTCGGAGCGGGGCCTGTTGGACGAGGACACGGATCGGCTAAAATAAAGTCGTCGGAAACATTTTACAGGTATTGGTTCTCAGGTAAGGTTATTAGGTATAGAATTCTCACCTGTCCTTGCGCGTTTAGAAGCCCTTGTCGTGGCGGTTGGTTCATATGAGACAGGCGGAAGGCCGGAAGTTCTCCGGAGGAGCTGCGCTGCTAAAATAAAATTTTTGGGGTGCACTGTGGATTTGGAAAAATATTTTGTATATTTAATGTTATTTATATAATTTTTGATAGTATTTTTAGGTATTTTATATCTTTTTAAATTACAGTATCCAAAATAACCTCTAACCTGCGAAATCTGGGCGGGTTGTTGCGGCTCTCTGACTTGTTGCTGGATGGGTTGGAAGAGGTGGGAGGTGATCTCGTTTTCAGGCTAGAAATATCATGCTTTCATTTATTATATATAAGAGCGATCTTGCATATATAAATATTAAATACTTTAATAAAGCGAAAGGCTCCATTTGAACTGTTAAAATTTACAAAAATACCTGTGACTCGGGCGCGGGCTGCCTTGGGACCTGGTTCAGGATACCGTAGATGCGCTAAAAAGGTTTTTCACAATTTTTCGATGTTTCGATCACTAATTAAGTGGTTAGAGATCAAAGTTTAAGCCCAAAGTTCGAGTTTTTGAAGTTTTTGAAGCCCACCTCGTCCACCGGGTTTTTCGGGGCCGGCCTGGTTTGTTGTGGAGGCGGTGGCGTCGGTTCGACAGAAGCGAATAGACCGCCAGTATTGTAGGAAGGTGACTAAAGCCCATCCTTTTTGAATCGACCAGAAAGCACAAAATCGACCCTTGCTACCGACTGGGTCTCGACAGCTACGCGCTGCGCCACAAGACGTCAAGAATCACAACATTTTGCGTCAACCGAAGTTTTCCCAGGCGATAAAAACATCTTTGTACGAGTGTTTTGGCGCCACTGGTAGCTGTCGAGACCAAGTGAAAGGGTTAGGGAAACCTGGCCCTTCCAAACCTCTTTAAAGGGACTCGCAAGCTTTCTAATCCATAAATGGTCCGTTCGGCTTTCCGACTCGAAAAGGAACCTATTTTTTTTTCTGAGAATCTGATTCTCCTAATATTAATTTTCTAATAAAGGAAAGTGTTTAATTTTTGTAAACTGTTTTCTTACTCCTGTGAACTTAAAAACTGTATAAGGTTTGGTTAAAAAGTACAAAATATAAATTTTTGGCGAAAAATGTCGCCGAAAAATTTTTCTCGTAAATTTGTTTGCTTTTCGATTGAATTTACCTTTTTGTATAAACTCTACTAAAATATTTGATAGATATTACGAGGCTTTCCTGGACTTAAAACACCCTGATAATGCAAAAGAACCCATAACTATTCGCTCTAAACTGTTCTGACCTGCATGGGAGAAGCCGATGAAGCCGGGGAGAGTAGTGGCGAGGGCTGCGGCGCCACCTTTCGTTCCGTAGAAGTACTTGCAATGGGCTAAAATTTAGAAAATTCGTGTTTTTTAAGTTTTCCTGGCTCCGTCTGAGCCCATGACATCCTGCACATTGCATAATTCGACCGAATTTCGATGAGAAATAATGAAAAATGCTCCCTCTCCGCCGTTATAGCTAATTTTATCCTAACAAACAGACTGCCCGATTTTTTAACAAAAAGTGATTTTTAATGTCGAAAATAGCATAATTTGCAAAATCTGATATGCATGCAGTCATCTACAGACGATCACGCTCCCAATGTCGTATCATATCCTACTATATATAAAAAAAATAGTTCCTGTGTGTGTGTGTGCATTTGAATGCAACTTCGGTCACCGTGTCCGGAGGATATCTCAAGAGGGGAATGGCGTTAGGCTACGTATGATGCGTCATTAGGTGCGTAACGTCCCCGACCGTAACGTAACGTCCTTAACGTCCGTAACGTCGTCAAGTTAGGCGGTAGCCTAATACCCTTCCCCCCTTGAGATATCCTCCGGACACCCTGACGGAAGTTGCATGCAAATGCACATACACACACAAACTCATTTTTTTTTATATATATAAGGGGATACCTGAAACAGTCCACCATGCGGAGAGTCTGGTGTGAGGGATCCCACTGCTTTTTCCGTCTCGTTTTGGATGGCTTTGTCGAACTAAAAGAAGGTATAGCTGGAAACTTTGGAGACTTACAATTGATCTGGGGATTGGGCCCGGTTCAACAGACACTTTGGGTGTTGGTTTTGGCGGTGGGGGAGGGGATTTGATGACGGCCTGAAAAATGGGTATTTAGATTTTTTTAATGGGCTTTTACCGATTTAGGGGAAATTGATTTCAGAACTAACGATCGCAGAAATATCGACTTTTGTTAAATTTTTAAATTTCACCCCTTTAGATATTTACTTTTCAAGTCTAACGTTTTTACATATTTTTAATTTTTAAGCTTTTTTAGAATGTTTTTTCTTCATTTTTTTAGCTACAGCCATACCTCAATGGTCTCATCCAGCGACGCCTGCGAGGTCACCGAATCGTTTCGAACCACCTGAACAGAACGTTAAATATTTTTAGTAGCGTTTTATAATAGTCGTAAATTAAACCAATGAATCCATCGTTGAATCAAAGTTAAATGCCACTAAAACTGTTCTTTAAAGCGTCAGAAACACGAGAATCGATCCGTTTAATTGGCTAGGTTTTGAGATATACGTTCCACACCAAAAAGCACAGCGTTTCGATTGTGTTTTTAGTGTCGACGCATGTCGCTGCCTTAAAGTATACTCAATATGTCAAAAATTACAAAAAAAATTGCCTGCGACTCTGCGCGCGCTCGTAGCGATTGAGACCCAGCTTTCATACGATTTCCTACGATTTTCATACGGATCGATTTTCATACATTCTAGTTCCTTTAAAATCGTCCATACGTTAGATACGATCTTGAAAAGTTAATCCCAAGCCCATACCTTATTGGCCTTGGCCTTCGATTGGGCTATCTTCTCCTGGCGTCTCTTCTCCGCCTCCAATCTCTCTTCTTCCCGCTTTTTCCGCATCTCCTCCTGCTTGGCTTCCTAATACATGGATCAACCATCCGAACCATGAATTCCATACCCTCAATGCTCGTTCCTGCTTCTTGGCTTCCTCTTTCTCCTCAGCTTTCCGCTTCCGCTCCTCCGCCAGAACGTCGCATTTCCGCTTCTTCAACGCTTGCGGGATTTCGTTGATGTCGAGCAGTTTTGCGCCGCCTTCTCTGAAAAGCACGTGGTTGTTGCGATTGTTTGTTTAGGTTTTAGAAGGCCGTAAAGGGGCTGACAGTGTATGATGGTGGATTTTGCAACGTTTTCTCAAACGCGAAAAGACCCTTCCGACTTGCGACGTTCAATGACGTAATCTATTACATTTCATGAATGCGTGCGTTGCATGTCGCGCTCGTATGTCTTTTGTTCGCGTTATGTGTCGTAAGCCGTGAGCGCATTGTGTGTCGCATGTGGCAGATGCGTTGCGTATCATGAGTCGAAGAGCCTTGCGGCCGCACATCGGAGACGCGTCACGTGTCCCTGCTGGCAGACGCACCGCAGGTCGCGATACTTCTCCTGGCGAGTCTCATATGGCAGCGGCGTCGCGTCTCTTGACTCGGAAGCGCGTCGCGTGCTCCGTATGGCAGTCGCGTTGCGCGTCGCATGAGGCAGAGGCATGTTGCGTGTAGCGTAGAGGCGCGTTGCGTGTCGCGAGCGCGCTCAGATACTTATGAAATGCCATGCCCATCACTGCATAGAGATATCTTTCTCGGCCCTTTAAAAGTCGAAACCCACTCACCGTTTCAACGCGGGCCGCTGGAACTTCTTGGGCTCGTTGGAAAAGCCGGCGGAGAGTTTGCACGTGTTTTGCACCATTCCACGCATTGGGACTGAAAAATTAGGTGTTTTTAAGTTTAAAGGGCCATTTAAGTCAAATTCATAGTCAAAAACCTAGATTGAAAACCCACTGTCTTCTCGTCCTATCCTCGCGGTCGATCGGACCTTGCAAATGGGGAGGCTGTGGACGGAGCCGAGTTTTGATTTGGCCGCCGGGTTGGCGGCGGCTTCGGCTTCTAAAATAAGTTTTAGCCATGATTTACATGTCGTAGCCGTTTAAAGCTCTGTCTTCAAGAACTACATGCATCAAAAACTTGTCAAAAAATGCAAATTTATAGCTTTGAGCTATAAAATCCGTGAATTTTTAGTTTTTTTTTCCGGCTGTAAAGACATCTAGCTTGATTTTGGTCAAATTTTCTACTCTAGTTGCTTTAAAATGGTTAAAAAGACCAAAAACTTTTGCAAAAATTACCCACGCTTCAACATCTCGATTTTCAACAAATGTGATTTTGGCTTCCGCTTCAGCGTAAAGTGCTTCTCGCGCTCCAGCTCGCCGACGCCGAATTGTTGCTGGAAAATCAGGAAATAATAGGCGCTAAAAGCATTCAATAAAATTATAAACTTTAAAATTGATTTATACATTACATTTTACATTATCCTTTTATTAAATTCTACCAACTTTTAACGCGGTTTCCGAGACGATCCGTGAGCTTGGAGGTAATAATCGGAGATCGCCGGCCTGCGCATGGCGTTTCACTAAAAAATGTTTGGATGTAAAAACAAACTTCTATTCCGAGTAAATTGTCCAAAAAAATACATTTTCTTACAACTTACTAATATTTTTCAGCTCTTGTAGTGTAGTGGAATAGTGGCCCTCACCGGAAGCGGGTGCTTCAAAGGTGATACGGCCCGTATTTGGGAGATCTCTGTAATTAAACAACTTTAAGATGATATGTTACCATTTTGGCTTAACTTAATCTGGAAAACACATTAATATACGTTGTAAATGAGTTTTAAACGCGTTTTCTGCTATGTAACTTGTAAATTCGATGATTTTACGCAAGTTTATGCGTTTAGAGCCTTTCTCTGCCTTGTTTTAAAGGTGTATTTGAAGGCGAAGGATTATTTAAAGTCGATTAAAACATCATAAAACCAGTTGCTACTTTTTTTAAAGCCTAATTACTAATATTAACGGATTACTTGATCAGAATAGACCCACTTGATCAGCTCGGCAATTGCCTCAACCCAATCGTCCGGATCCCGATGTCCCAAGTAGATCAGCTGGCACATTTCTTGTTTCCACTAAAAACGGCCTTAAAAAGTTAAATAAACCAAATTGCCTTTGCTACGATATTGTCAATAGTTAGAAAATGGTATCTAGGACAAAAACCACACTAAAACCCCACATTTGCCATCAACCTCGGCTGCACGTGAAGAATTGCCGTTAGCAGCTTCACCTTGATGTTCGTCTCGAGGCGCTAAAAATATCAATATAGTTATTAAAGTAACCAGCGCCCAAAACCCGCTTCGCGGGCCTTGGGCGCTGGAATGTGGTCTTTGCATGAGCAATTTCCCATTCTGATAGCTTGGGTCCTTCGGACCCCCTTCCCCCGTCCGACCACACGCGCGCGTGCAACTTGCAAGAATCAGGAAATTTGTATATTTTCACATTATGCAAATTAGCCCTTAGGGACCTCAAAAATGAGTAAGACCGGCTTTAACTTTGTAAACTTGTATTTTATCGAAATTCTGAACACGCGATCGGAAACAGAAGGGTCGATTCCCCCAAGTGACGGAGAATTGGTACGTTTTGGACACGGGAAGGCCCTCAAATCGGGTCTCGAAACTGACATCCACACACACACACAAAGATACACGCCAAAATTATATAAGGTAGGATTTTTTAGTATAACTAGCAGTTTTAGGCGCATTAGTAAAGGATTTAGGCTTGTGAACTCATCGCCAGCCCGGGAAACTCCTAGATTTAATTCCGTAGGTGCGCTCGGGGGGAATAAAACAGCTAATTCCGCCGGCGAACTTTATTGGCTACGTGCCGAGACCCGGTATCGGGTCGATCAAGTTTTTATTCAACACCCCAAAACTAGGCGACGTCAGCATTATCTGCGCAAAATTTTGATTTTTAAAAACGAGCTTTTTGGCTGCTTTTTATTTTTATAGACGCAACGGTAGGGGAATCCGAGAATACGCCAAATCGTGTCTTTTGGCGCTACGCGTAGTTGTCGATACCTAGCCGATCAAAAGCGTCGATTTCTTTACACGTTTTAGCCCTTCAAAAAGCACAATCTAGGGATCTTAAACCGGTTTTGTGGGCCATTCCCTACCCCACAATTCATCATCAATTCTTCTTCCATAATTCCGAAGCTCAAAACATTTCGAAAATTTGGAATTGGGCCAAAATTGCAGCAAGTCGACCAGATCAATCTGATAGTCCGGAAGAAAACGGATTGTGTGAAAGATTCGTATTCATTTTTCAGCTCCCCCGACTAGCTAACGACCGACAATTCAAAACATCCTGGTCTCCTCTGTTACGGGAGGTATTTTTTACACAACGGTCTGGGTTTGATATGACACATCAGATTAATCAATCCCTCTCACCCGATCACTCACTCACTTTTCTCTCTCTCTCTCACTCTCTCGCGCTATCTCTCTCTTTCGCCTTCCCTCGCTCTCTCTCTATCCTTCACTTGCTCGATAGCTCATGCTCTCACGCTCTGTAGCTCTCCTCTCCTTCTCTCTCATTATCTCAGTCTCACTCTATCTCACTATCACTCTCTTTTTCTTTTTATCGCTCTTGCTCTCTCGCTCTTTCTCAGTCTAATGATTGCTAGCTCACTCAAAAACCCAGCTATCATACCTGAAAGCTCAAGCTCAAGCTCAGCTACGTTACCTGAAAGCACGTCTCCAACTCCTCGATCATCTCCTTGCTGAGGAATGAGGCTGCATTTCGTCCTCCCCATTCTTCAGAGTCCCCGAGCTTCTTCTCCAGCCAGTTCACCTAAAAATTGCGCGTTTCGACCGCCAGAAAAGATGGGGAAAACCTAATTGCATCCTATAAATTAAGAAAACACTCATCAAAATCACTAAAAACAATAAATTGTTTTATTCTGAATACTACTCACCAAATCCGTGTCCTTCAGCAAGGCGCCAGGTGCCGAGGCGGCCGTCCTCGGCGTGAAGCCCTCCATGTCTTCCCTTTTTTAGTGATACGGCTTTCACGTTTAATAGAGTAGCATCTAAAAATTTTAGTAGTTTAGAAGCTTTATAAAATGTATAAAAAGAATAAGGAAATTCGGAGAGAAAGAAGGTATCTTGAGAACTGATATTTGAGAAAAACGGATGTGGAGCATCAGAATCTGAAAAACAGGCCTCCTTTTCGGGGATCAACAGCAAATATTTACACCCAGAACTATTTTTATTAAACTGCTACTGTTAAAAAAACAATAGACAAGACGCATTACAATTTCCTCAAAAGCCCCCTGCTAGTTTGCCCCGAGAGCTTCAAAACCCCCAAACCTTGGAATTCGGCCAGCCAATCGCTCGCTGATCAAACCAATTACGATAGGTAATTTGGAGGCTTGACCACGTTCTTATGACTTTTTTACACAATATGCTGAAGAGTTCCTAAAAGGTATCTGCTAGCTTTCCCAGAGAAAACATTTTTGCCGTTGACGGAAGCTCCAAACAGTGACGCTAGGTTATTCACACGCTTTTGGCATTCTCATGGCTTTGGTCTGGCATTGCCAAAAGGTATGGAAATCACCCTTTCTTTCCACAAATTGTCTCTGCTAGCTTGCCCTCACATCATAAACATTAAGACGCTGTATCCTAGGTTCAGCCATCCAGTGACGTTATGGAAATCAGGAGGTTTCCGCTTTCTTTCGGGTCTATTGTTCGTTTGAATTTACAGCAAGCCACACTATGAATCTTCCTTATTTTCACTCAAATGGTCTCTGCTAGCTCGCCTTGAAAGTCCATGCCAAAATAATGTGATCCACCCTAGGCCTTTTCAAACAATAACGCTAGGTAATTCACGAGGATTGCGACTTTTCAACGTGCTTTTAGATAGATTGGACTGTATGGAACTAAATTCCACAAGAATCCCTGCTAGCTTGCCTCGTTTTTGTAGTTTTTCTTTGAAAACACTAGCTTTGCGCAATCAAATTCTCTAGATCTCAGCTATTCAAGTCAAGAGCTAACAAAATTGACGCAAGAACCCGAATAAAACGGCTCTGACAACGCCCTAAAACAACCAATGACGTTAAGAATCTTATTAGCGTTTTTATAAATCCAATTGATGGCCTGAAATGATGAGGGCGGGTAAAACAAGGGGGAAGGGGGGAAACTGGCAATGTGCCGGGCGAGAGATACTGAGAATTGAGAGAGGGGACAGAAAGGGGGGATAGGGTGACATTTAGCGGGGGTTCTCCGAAGTTTTCATCCGATTCGCGTTCTCCAGGAATATCTTTGAGTTAACAAAATTTAGATATAAAAATTTGTCTAATTCCGCTCATGTGTTTCTTAATATTTAGAATTAACTATATTTGGTTTAATTTTGCGTTTAATCAGTTTGTTTCGGGACGAGCGAACGAAACATTAGTCAAATAGTTTACGATGTTATTTAAATATACCGAACACCTCTCCAATTTCTGTGTTTTTCAAAAAGGAGTAAATTTCTTTAGTTTAATTTTATGCATTTTGCGCCTAAAAACGATCCAAGAAGATAAATTGGAGTGAAAAGTGGGAGGTAGTTAGGTGCGTTTTTTGAAAACAATCTACTAAAATCTATTTATTTTGAAAAACAGCTCTGGCAAGTCGCCAAACGCTCAATCAATAACTTATTGTCGAAGTTTTGGATCGGGGTAAAATCCCAGAAATCAACGATCTAATCTTCTTCCGTAAATCCCGATTCCCGAGTCCAACGACAAAGGTGTGGAAGATTGGTTTGGCGGCGAAGAGGACGTAGACGTAGAATTCGTAGCCACTGTAGATGTCCAGCTGAAAACAAAAAAAAAACTCCGTTAAAGGGCTGCCGACGGCATGTGTCGATCCCCCCCCCCATCAACAAATTGGCAAGTAGCCAACAGGGCAGAGAGCGCGCCCTGGGGAGAGGCGCAGAGACATTTTCTTTCCAGCGCGTAACCGATTGCTTAAGCCGTCGGCATCCCTTTAAACTTCGATAAGACGTCTGAATTCCTAGAAAATCTTACATTTAACCATCGGCACCACTCCGGAATGAGGTTACAGATGACGGTGGCGAGGATTATAAGCCCTGAAAAAAAACGAATAGGCGCTTGATGCTCGCCCAAAGAGAAATTTTGGCTCTCCGGATCAAAACGGTTGCGTCGCGTCTCGCGTTCTGGTGCCGCGTACGTTTTCCTTAGCTTTTAGCGGTGCGCAACGTGGCCGCGGAGCCCGGACAAGTCCCAATTTTTTCGTGCCTTGACGTCGTCGTAACTTACCTGTCCATTTTACAGCCAAGGCAAAACTGGCGTAGAAACGTCCGTTTTGTGTGTTTTGCTTGGTGTGGGCTTCGTAGACAAACTGGAATGATTCGTAGAGCGTTGTAAATATTGTCTGATCGGTTCCGCTTCAGATTTAACAGTTTTAAGACTACAAAATCGCTTAAATCGGCGGTTTTTCTTCATATTTTGATTTTGATATCTGTCATAGATTCGGTTTTCTCACCTTTCGGATCTGCAGAATTACTGGAATATAGCAAATCGCGCCTGTCGTTAGTACAACGAGGTTATTGGTGGAAAAAGTAGCCCGGACAACGTTAGGATACGCCGATGACGAACAGACCTAAAAAGCAAAATCTCGCTTGAATCGGCCCGAGAAATGCGAGAATCAACGTCTTTCCTGGACTAGGTCTTGACAGTTAAGCGATGCACCAAATTTCGCTGGGTCCTTCCAAATTTCTATGAGTTTCATCTATTGAAATATTCAACTCAATTCGCGTTTTTTCGACTAATGCATCGCTGTCGAGACCTAGTGGAAAAATGAGGGTCGATTCTGGCGATTCCTTACAGGAGCTAATTTAAAGGGATGAGAAAGCACGCTATCGATTTGCTCTCTGTTTTGCAAGGTTCGCGACACGAACACCCGACGCACCATATAGAATCTAATCCAGAAAAGAAAAATCCATATCTCTCTGTCTTGTCAGTCCCTTTAATCGTCCGAATACCCGCTTTTCTTACCATAGTCGTCATATAGTCATTAACTTTTGACCAATGGATGATGAAACATATGGATGTGATCGTCACTACGGTGACAAGACCTAGATCTAAGCTGCAGAATTCAAATTTCGCAACTAACAGCACATAAATCGATGAACATGGCGAGAATGCAGGGTACGGTAGAAACTGGGGGCGACGACGAACAACAACTTCTCCAAGCCGATCAGGGCATCACAGTAGGGGATGAAGAGATTCGCCCAGATCATGAGGGGCGGGAAAATAGTACGAAGGCACCTGGATTGGGGCACGATTTCGGTATCTAGGCAGAGGTTTAAAGGGGTTGGGAAGCGGGAAAATCGACCCCGGCCGTGACTGGGTGTCGACAACTTCGAACGACATCTATGGACATTTCGATTGATTTTCGAGACGCTACAAGAGAGTGAGCAGGGAGGGAGAGAGCGAGAGAGACAGCGAGAGAGAGCTAAGGCGATAGAGAGATAGAGATAAGGGGATAGAGAGATACACAGAGACGGACAGAGAGGCAGAAAGATAGAGAGAGCGAGAGAGCGAGAGAGAATGCGACAGATGTAGGTTTTAGCTCGCTTCTGGTCCGTTTTAAACCGTACCCACCAAGCCCTGTCTGATAAATGATAATCTGAGAAACGCATGCTGCAACCATCATCCCAGCAAATAGGCCTTCTAAATATTTCAGGTTATTGGGATTCAAAACTTGAAATTGATTAACACCTTTGCACCCACCAGAAATCAACAGATACAGCAGTAGTGACAGCGAAACGTCTTGACGTAAAATTCGAAATCGTAGAATGACGATAACCATGAAAAGGTTGAAGGCCATTACGGTGGTTGCTAAAATGGGACCAGGAAAGGGTTCTATAAGAAAGGAAATATGCATTAAAGGGATGTGCAATGCATGACTAGCCATTATCGGTTCCGCGACACGCAACGCGCATGCATGGATTCCATTGCGTAGCGGATTATCCTCGCTTCGCGGGCAGACAGGCAGGCGTCGCGTGTCGCGGCGCCGCAAAATTCATGAGGAAACCACAAAGCCATTCCTCGCAGAATTCATAGCCAAACCTTTTGCGTTCCTTTAGATCACAACAAGGTAAAAGTAGGTAAAAAATAAAAAAATAAAAAATGGGAATTAAAATGAAAATCCATTAAATTAAAAGATTAATTCTAATTAAACGTGTGAAAAGTTATTTTAATTGTCTTCAAAAATTGCTGCTTATTTGTTTCTTTTTTGTAAAGACACTTACCAATAATTCCCTCCAATATCATCGCTATCACCTCGCGTCTCATATTTCAAAGAATAGTATAATTAATGATAATATATATATATATAGGTATCTATAAATAACCTGTCGTCCAGCCAATTTTTCTGATGCAGCAAAATCGAGCTAGTCGGGCCTACTATACAATGAAATGACATTAAGCATCATTTTCTGCTTAAATTGTTGGGTCCAAATCCCGGGAAGCTAATCGCCCGTGGAGGTTGTGCTACCCCGCACTTTTTCCGCTATAACCCGGCTATTTCCAAAATTAAACGTCATTCCTCTAGTGTAAGTAGTTCGGGGTCCACTTGTTATTTTGAGGCCGGAAAATAAGTTTATTGGATGGGTCTACACTATCGGAAAGGGTATATAATTTGCTCGTGTAACCGATATTTTTCTTGTCCTGAATTTGGTGTGATCTGTGCTTGAAATCGTTGTAAACGGACGGGCGTTCAGAATTTATTGGAGCGAAAATTTTCCCACATTAATCGCTTATGGCTCTAAGGGGTGCTCCAATGAAAAAACTCCCCTTTTAACTCGATCCAGAAATATCAGATCGAAATGATAGTTACGTCATCCGATAGCCCTTGAAACGACGAGTCATTCTTCAAAATCAATTTTCAAAATCATGTTTTAGTTAAAGGCCCCTTTTGGGAAGCGGCTTCGCAAGATTTTTCTGTTTTTCGGGGTTGGATTTCTCGCTATTTTGAGTTTCTCGAGTACCGGAACTAGGAAGTTTCTAACAAGTGACCGGAAGTAGCCGTTAATTAGATGCATGGCCGGGCCAAAATTGTTTTTAAATGCTCTATAAAAGGGTCTGTTTGAATAAAAACACGGTTTTGGATATTGTTGCAAGCTCGGCGTAGGAAGGGCTTTCGAATGGTGTAGCTTTCATTCCGATCCGATACTTCTGAGTCGAGTAAGAGGGGGTGTTTTTTGTTGGGACACCCTGTACAATCGGCCTATAACTCAGCATCGTCGTTATTTATGAGCAGTTACACCTCTGGTCCAAATTTGGGACCGATTGGATGTAATGCGGCCAAATGCCATTTTTGGGTCACCTCGTATTAACAAAAGGCTTAGACGTAAAACCAAAAATTCATGCCCCGCCCCTTCCCCGGCTAAGCATTCAGTGCCATAATTTTTTGGTCTGTGCATAAGAAATAAAATCGATATGTTTATTTCAATACAATTTCCAGGGGCAGCAAAAACATGGTTCAAAAACATAGCTTAAAAATATAATTCGAATAGATAAGGCAACATGGGGAGACACGATGTCGACTAGCGACAATAATCAGCATTGTAAAATTGTAAAATCATAAAAATACAAAAATATAACGTAAAACAAAATACAAAATCGGGAATTGCGTGCGGAAATGTGGGGGAAAGGCGCTTTTGTTGAATTTTGGCAATGGGGCAATTCGGAAGGCGGGTGGGAAGTTGGTCAAGTGAATGAATTTTTTATAAATAAGGCAAAAAGGCAGAAAATAGTGAATTTCAAGGTATTATTCCTTTAAAATACGAATAATTAGTTTCATAAATTAACTGAGGGATCATTGCAAAGATTGTTCGCGCGGAGGAGCACCGTGTTGTGCGGAAAGTTGCGGAATTTGAGAAGGAGCAAATTTTTGGGAATCCCCTATGGATGCAAAAGAAGCTGTTCCCTTTTCATGGCGTAATTGGTTGTCTGAATTTTTTTCTCAGAAGAGGGGATAAGAAAGATGAGCGAAATTCCAGAAATCTATAGGATGGTGCACTTCCTCTTCGACTTGATCGGCTTGGGGTTGAGGACCGAACGGACAGCGTCTTCGAAAACCTAAAAAATCGGGAATTTTCTCTCTATCTCTCGCCCTTGCTATTCCTCTCCCGCTTCTCTCTCTCTCTCGCTCACTCTCTTTTTTCTCTCTCACTCGTTCTCTCTCACTCTCTCACTCGCTCTCTCTCACTAACTCTCTCTCTATCTATCTCTCACTCTCTCCCTCTCTCATTCTCGCTCTGAAATACTCTCTCTCTCCCCCTCAATTTCCATATTACTCCCTAAGTCGCTCTCTCGTGCCTTCTCTCTCCCTCTCACGCTTCTTATGTTCTCTCGCTTTCTCGCACCCCTTCGCAATCGCTCTCTCGCTCTCTCTCTCTCTCTCTCTCTCTCTCTCTCTCTCTCGTCCTCACACTCTGTTTAGCTCTCTCTTTCTAATCTCTTTGAAATTCCGATATCGACAGTCCGCGCCTACCTGTCGAAGTCCATGCTGCGTCAATGCAGAGCACTCCAAGTAGCGCACAGCTTTGATCCGCTGGGCCACCTTCTGTCCCTGCGCCTTTAGAATCGGGCCCCGCGGGTCGGCCGTGTGGTTCGGGTCGTCGCGCAAATCGATTTTCGTTCCTGAAATTTTGGTATTTTCCGTGAATTTAGATGCCGTAGTCCAAATTACAGGCCAAAATTCAACGTTTTTAGCGGCTTCCGTTACAGTTGTAGTATAGGACGAGAAACTAGATTCTGACTTTCAACGTACCAACGAGAAGAATCGGCGCATCCGGACAGTGGGCCCGGATCTCCGGAATCCATTTGGTGGTGACGTTGTCGAAAGAGACTGGCGAGACAACGGAGAAGCACAACACAAACACGTCGGTTTGTGGGTAGGAGAGGGGCCGGAGGCGATCATAGTCTTCCTGGAATAAGTTAATATGATTTTTCAGGGTAGTTTCCACGTGAAAAATGACATTTGTGCACTGGTCGGTCGTGCTAAAAACCTAGTATATCCTGATCTTTCCAGACTCACCTGCCCAGCCGTATCCCAGAGCCCAAGGTTGACCAAATGCCCGTCAACCGTCATCTGGGCCGAGTAGTTGTCAAAACTGAAATCGTTTCGGGGTATAGACAATTTTTGCTGTGCAAACAACAGTCCAAAGCAGACCAGAAGTCCCGGTTTTGAGAAATCAGTAGCTGTAAAACTTACACGGTCGGCACATACTGCAACGGAAACGAGTCGGTGGTGTAGGAGATGAGCATGCAGGTCTTTCCGACTGTTCCATCACCCACCACCACACACTTGATCTGCCGCGATGGAACCGACATCGGCAACACTAAATTCGGATTCAAGTGTTATGCATAACATTTTTCTTTTGAACAATCAGACGTGAAATGGAGTCGGCTTTGCGAGAGCAAAACAGACGCGCGTATAGATAGTTATAAAATTTGCACAATATCGGCCTTGATAAACCAAACTCACAAGGAAACGTTTTTTGGCGTCCACGGAGTTTAAAAATGTGACCAAGCCGAGTTTGTGCAGAATTCTGCGCTGATTCAACGCTAGTTTCAGGATCTGCGAAACGACGACAATAAAAAAGCTATGCAGCACCAACGGCCGAAAAACGGCCAAACTTGGCCATTATGGGCATTTTTTCAAAAAGGGCCGTTTTGCAAATTCTGAAAATTGCGTATTGACCAGCAAAAAATGCTGCACAGAACCCTCACGTCGCTAAAAATTCTCCTTGTATGCGCAAATCGCAAATTTTGCTATTTTCTAAACGTAAAAATTGTAGTAATTATTCGCCATATTTGCGCGGCGTTTTTAGAAAACGGAATGAGGCTCGGAGATGCAAGAGGGCTACAAAACGTATATGAACCGATTGTTTATAAAAATACGTTGTCTATAAAATTGTAAAAGAGAGGATCGTTTCAACATTTCGACGATGAGGAGGATGTTTGTCAAGGACGGAACTGTGAGTCATTGAACCCCCAGCTGCCCCGGTCGGTGGCCTTTTCCCATGGGTGCAGCCGGTGTGGGCGTCGTTAGGAGCGCCGTGGAGCGGGACTTGCAAAAATGTATGCATTAGCGATGCGCTAGCTGCCTGTCAAGTCAAAAAAGTTGTATTACGGACTCGCATATCGCGATGAATTTCAGTTAGAGAAAAGTGAAGACCATGTAAAGATTCTGTGATGATTCTGTGAGAAAGATCGAACACTACTGTTA